GCCCTGGAGCGCAGGGCCCCTCGCGTTACACCGTTCCCAAACCCCAGCTGACATGGAGACTACACCATCGATGCAGGCACACATGAAGGTGTAAAATAGCTTTTTATTTCTCCCATCGGGCCAACTCTGACAGAGGCAGAGAGGGTGGCTGCTGTTAGTCAAAGAGACCAAATCCCATGTCCTCGTCAGACTCCTCCGACTCCTCCTTCGCTGCCTCCTTCGCTGGAGCAGCAGCAGCGGCAGCAGCAGGTGCAGCGGTTTCAGCCACCACAGGCATAGCTGCCACAAAAGCTGAGGGGTCCGCCAGGAAGGCCTTCACCTGTAAAAGCGGGGGAAAAAATGTAAACTCACGGAGAACAAAACATTGCAGGACTGAACCTTTGCAATGATAAAGGCAGCACTTGCAGCTTGCCAGAATCCAAACACATCCACTTATCAGTAGCAGATATGAAGAACCAAATATATTTCAGCTAAGCTTTCAGCCCGCAGGTAAATCAGCTCTCTCCTGCCATTTGTACACAACATATGGAAGGAAGCAGGTGCCCCCTCTCCAGACACATCTCACACAGGCGTGTCTCAGTGTGGATGCCACAGGACAGAGAGGGAGAAACAGCAAGCGTTTCCCACAGTGGCTTGTGAGAAGTTTTAGGGAGTTGGAAAGATGTGATAACTTGTTGAGTATAAACAATTTGCAGGTGTTTTTCTACTTTATTTTTCTGTTCCTCTAAAGGACAGTGTGTGAGAAAGAAGTTATTGTTAGTTAGCCAATAGAACAGAACCTATGGTACCACTCCATAAAAACCACATGGTTCCTTTGAGCCTTCTTTGCCTTTTCTACGATCCTGCCTCTCACCTGTTTCTGCCTCAATCTCAGCACAAGGGTGAAACATCCCAGTCCTCACAAACCAGGGGACATGCTGTGAATGTGCCTGGCTGCACTTCCAACACCCTCTCTGCCGAGCTCAGAGCCAGCCATTACCTTTTCAGCCAGGGGGAAGGTGTAGTCGGTCTCCACAGCCACGGCCAGGACACGCTTGTAGCCGTTGATGATGGAGTGGGGCACGGACGCGATGGTCGGGTACCCAATCTGCAGACAGATGCTGGCAACATTGCGAACACCCTGCAAAGAGACAGACTTGTGTTTCTGTAGCCTGAGAAATAATCTAGAAATCACAGCAGAGGATGGCCAGATGACAGCTTTTACAATGCAAACAGAAAGGAAAGCATGCAATGCACACAGGTAACAGCTCCAGTGAAATCAAGGCATCCATATTTATGTGTCACTGATCTCTGCTCTCTGGTAACCAGTGACAGGACCCAAGAGAACAGCATAAAGCTGTGTCAGGGGAGTTTTAAGTGGAATAATAAGAAAAAGTTCTTCCCCCAGAAGGTGTGGGGCACTGAACAGGCTCCCCATGGAATGGTCATGGTCCCAAGGCTGCCAGAGCTCAAGAAGCATTTGGACAACGCTCTCGGGCACAGGGTAGGATTGCTGGGGTGTCCTGTGCAGGGCCAGGAGTAGGACTTGATGATCCTTGTTGGGCCCTTCCAATTCATGATATTCCATGATTTTAACTGGCCTCAAATGATTTCTGAAGCAGATTCAGAAGAATCCTACAGAAAGATACTCCCTGACACACAGTTTCTCCAGGGAACCAAGGAGAGCTCCTGGCCCTGCAGGACCTCATGGGAAATACCAGACAGGACACTTTGTTCTGGCAGTGCTGACTCCCAGAAGAGCGAGGGACAGGGCTGGCTGTGGCACTCACCTCCAGGAAGCGCTTGTGCAAGGTCTCCTCGGTGATGTCCAGCACTTCAGGGTTGTAAATGCTGCCATTATCAAAGACCTGCTGGATCACCAACCCGAAGGAGAACGGGGAGATGTTCAGCATGTTGAGCAGGGTGGCTTCGCTGGCACCCACTTTGTCTCCAGTCTTGATAAGCTGCACATCACTCTGAGGAGATGAAGGAAAAGGAGTGAATACACACCAAGAAATTCCAGCACATCAAAACAGTGGGACACAAACGCAGATGGTGGAAGTGGAGGAGCAAATGAGCACAACCAACACCCTCCACATTCAGCTCCACAATCAGAGAAAGCCCCAGACCACATAAACAAGTCCATGTTGGCCAAGAGAAAAGCAGCACCTTTCCTTCCTTACCTACAGGTAGCTCACCTGCACGTTCCTCTGACAGAGCCTACCCCTGGGAAATCTAATGGAGAACTTCAATCCCCCCACACTGCGCACTGAAGCCAAGCCAGCCAACCCTCCTCCAGATCCCAAAGTTGAATAATCACACGGCTCATACAGTATCTTGGCACTATTGAGAGCTTTGGCCTTCACAGCTCCCTCAGCTGCCACAATCAAGGCCTCCCAGTAATGGAACAACTTGAACGACTGTAGCTCACTGACCAGAATTTCAATGGTTCCTCTGGAAATCTTTGTGGTGATGCCCAAGGCCTGGAAAAAGGAGGTCTTCTCAGGTCCGAGGCCTGTGTTCTGGGCTGGCACAGTCACATCACAAGGAGCGATGGCACCGGCACGGGCAGCAGCTGGCACCTGAGAGGGGGGAGACGAGAAGCTGCAAGAATGCTCTCCTCAGACCTTGTGGGATCACCTCCTCCCTGAGGTGCTCCTCCAGGAGAGACAGGACACAGGCACATGCAAGTGAGGCAGTTTGGCTAAGACTGCAAGGGCCAATGCCCAAACCTTGAGGACTTCCTGTCCACCACGAAGACTCAGCTTTATTTTGTGTTCCATCTCAGCATAAACATGAAGTGAGGACTGATCTCCCTTACCTTGTTAGCCAGCAGCATGTCCCGGATCTCAGTCAGATCCTCCTTAGTGAAGACAAAGCCCACATTCCCACGGATGTGAGGCAGCAGCCTGAAGAAAAGAGGACAGCCCTCAGTTTTACTCCTTAGACAACCTCCCCTGTCCAAGACAGAGGACCCAAAGTGCCCTCAGGCAGCATTACCCACTTTTCTAGAGCAGGGTTATTCTCCAGATGACCACGAATAGCTTTGCGCATCATCGTGTTCTTCCCCATCAGCACAACAGCTTTTCCACGCAGGGACATCCGGATCTGCTGCATCTGCTTGGATCCCACGTTGTCTGCTCCCACAATGAAACATTTTGGGTAATCATCCAGGAGTTGCTATAGCAAAACAAACACTGTAACTATACAAAGATATTCGGAGCAGCGCACACAGCAGCATTAAAACCGCAACACATGAAAACGTAAAAAAAGTCTGTCAGAAGTTTGAGAATGATGAGCCCCAAGTGAGGCTGAGTGTGCCATAGGCTGCATCTTTCACTCAGCCATGGAGTCCAATCCCTGAACAAGTCTGTAAGCGCCACGGCAAATTCTCAGCAGGCCTGATTTGAACTATCTCACCTCTCTTTCTAGTACCAGGAACTCGTTCAGACACCCCAAAGCACTCACCTATCTCTCCTAAAAGCCCCCATAGCCCGGCCCGCCCGGTTCCCGCTGCCCCGAGCCTGCCCCAGCAGCGCCCCACGAGGGCTCCGAGCCGACACTCACGATGATTTTCATAAAATAGTTGGACTTCCACGTAGCCCTGTCTTCCCTGGGCATCTCGGCGGTGCTCCAAGGATCGCCCGGTGGGTTTAAAGACGAGCTAGGACCTGCCAGGAAGAAGAGCGGATCAGGTGGGTCCCCACCCTTCCCTTCTCTCGGCCATGGGGCCCACCGCTCCCAACCCCATAGCCCAGCCACGGCCCAAATCCCGCTCCTGGTCCCGGTCCCGGTCCGCTCCCCTCAGCGCGGCCCCCCAGCCCAGCCCGGGTCCCGGAGCCGCCGCGCCGCGCCCGCACCTCCACGAGGGCTCCGGGAAAGAAGGGCCGGAGGGCGGGCTTGTCTCCTTTTATACCGCAGCTCAATACCAATCGCAGAGCGCCGCGGCTCTGCCTGCCCCCAGCCCATTGGCTGCCCGCCGCGTCAATCATCCGCCGCTCTGCGGGACGCGCGTGACGCAAGCGGAAGGCGCGAAGGGCGCAGGAGAGCGCGCGGCCGGGCGCGCGCCGCCCCCTAGCGGCCGGAGGAGCGCACTGCCCCCCCCCCCCCCCCCTCATCCCTGAGGGGCCCGCCCGGGCTCCGCTCCCTCACAAACTCGGGGGCAGAAAACAACCGCGACACAGGCGTGACTATATTGGTAAAAATTTTATTGGCATAACTGCAAGAATTTTAAATGGAGAGAGAAAAAAAAAAAAAAAAGCGGAGTTAGAAGTTTACAAGGGAGGAGAGAATCAAATAATTGTCGACCCAGCGGAGCTTCCCCCAGCCCAGCCATGATGCGAAAGGCCTTCCCAGGATAGCGCCTGGCCCGGGGGCACACACACACCTTCCCGGAGCACCCCCACAGCCCAACAGCGGCTGCGCTGCCCTAAAACTGCATCTGTACTGAACGAACAGGCATTTTGGACACCCACAGCGGCCGCAGCCACCACCAGGCATTATTTGGCAGAGTAGCATTGGTGTGGCATCCCAGCATATCAGACACCAGATGAAGGCAGAAGGTGAGTGTGACATCATCTCGGTTAAGCACTAAGGCCAGAGGAGCATCCTCTCAGCACCACACAGCCCACACAGCACCCTGCACCCAGGTGTGCCACAAGAGTCACTGACAAAGCCTCAGCTAGCAGTGAGGTAGGTTAAAAACTCCCCAGACAGGGAAACTGAGGCACAGGATTACACAGTTTGCAGGTGTCACATAAAGTGGCAGTGCCAGAAACATCTCACCCCTCTCCAGCATCTGCACACAACAGCTGTGTGTCCCCTCAGTGGCACCAAGGAAGATGACTATTCCAGAGATAAACACAGGCAGCTTAGGAACATCCGTTTTAAGTCAAATAGACTACAAGATGAAAATGCACAAGGCCTCTTGCCTCAAGAATTTCCCAGAGCTGTGCTCAGCCCAGCTGACACAGCTCCAGCGCTCCCACAGCTCCCTCTGGCCTCACACCCACACACTGAGGTTTGTTTGTTGGGGGAAATCCATGGGGACAGTTTCAGTGACCTGAGCAGGGCAGCGCAGCACCGTGATGAGGTTACATGGGACAGTGACCCGTGGGTTTCAGGGCTGGTTTCTGACACCCCTGGAGCCCTAGAATGCACTTGCCGAGCTGCAAATACAACCAGATGGCAATGGTGACAGAGCTGCAGCTCTCTGGAGCAGGAATTCCAAACACTGCTCCCAGGGCTGGTATGCCACTGGGAATTTCAGCACAGTGCTTCCCTCTCCACAGCACCCTCCAGCCAGAGACCTAAAAGTGCTTTACCAAACATCAGCTAGGTCTCACAATAACCTCACAAATCCAGGCTAAACTGCCCCCATTTTACAGATGGGGAAACTGAGGCACAGTAAGGTTTAGTGACTGGCCCAAAGCTGCACAGCTCGTCAGGAACAGACTCTGTCTCCCAGTCTCTTCTCCTCAATCACAAGACCTTTCTTCCACAGAAAGAAAGGAGCCCCTTCCCCAATTAACCCTGTTCTGGTTTCAGGCAGCTGAAGAAGAGAAACCAAGGTAAAAGATCTGAACTCCTTCCCCCCTAGCATATTAAGACTCACTTTTAACATCCTGGAAGCTGGGCTTTGGGAGAACGGCAGGTGATTCAAATACAGCAGTTTACAGATTACAATAAAAACCGAAATTATACTTTTGGGTGACCCAGAGGAGGGAAAAAAAAAAAACCTCAAATCTATTCACAGATCACCTGCCTGTGCTAGAGAAAAAAAAATACAAGTCATGTTCCCTTGCCCATAGATTCCAGCCCCTCCCAACCCGCAACAAAAAGGAAATATTGAATGTTAGTTAGGCTTAATAAAGCATTGAGATTACAGATGCAGTAAACCAGCACAACTGGCACACTGCCTAGAACAGCACAGCTTGATATAAAAGTTGCTTTCTTAAAATCACTTCAAAACCAATTTCTGTATAAGAGGATTAAAAGTAAATTAGATATGAATTCAAAATCAGTGTAGAAATCTACAGTTCTTATCAAAGACAGGATACAGTATTCACTTTGATAGTAAAACTCCAAGTGTGTCATGCACACCTGACCCCCCAGGACTTGTTATACCAGTAACAGTCAATATAAAAGGTTATTGCTGTAGCATCTCTCAGTAGAACATGTTTAACAGGAGCACAGAAAAGGGAAACACCAAGGGGCTGATAGGTCTCATTAGCAAACTGGAAGAGGAAAGGATATAAATTTAGGAATTTTTTTTCCTGGCTTCTTAAACCCTTCCTTGTAGCCACTCTTGTGACAGATTGAGGCCCTGATAGATGGGAGAGTCCCAGGGCAGATAAACACTCGCACGTCACACTCGCTCATGACAGGGCTGGATGAAAAAGGCTGCTCTAACCTCTCTGCACCTGTGTGTAAAGAAGGGGTGATGCCTCTTCCTCTGCCAGGAGCAGCAGGTGAGGGGAGCAGATTCCCTGAGCTGGCCTGGGTGCCTATGGAGCTGCAGTCCCCACAGGAGAGCACAACAGTGCTGAGGGATGCTTGGGGCTTACCCCACCTCCTGCTCCAGTGTGCTGAGAGAAGGCATTGAGAAAGGGAGTAACAAACCAGGGAAAAAAAGAAAAACACCCCACACAGTAACATCTTGATTCCTCTTAATTAAAAAAAGAGTAAGTGGTATTATCTCCTTACAGTGTAATGGAACTGGAGAGACCCTTGCAGGGTCCTGGCTGCCTGTGCTGATGCTCTGCCCTCAGCAAGTCACACACGCAGTGTAACTGCGAGGAGAGCCAGGGTGGCACTGAGGTCACAGGGTGGCCTCGCTGCGCTGTCACCCTGCACACGAGCAGGCAAAAGCCTGAGAATGAGGTGTCAAAGCAGAGGGTTGTGTTGTCTGCAAGTGTCACCGTTTGCTCAGAGCTGACACAGGCTGAAATGTACTGGCAAAGCCTCCTGCTGCCAGGAGGGGGCTGGGAAAGTCTCCCTGTTAAGAGCCCTCGAGCTAAGCTCAGCTGTCAGTCACACACAGACACACACACCACAGTGAGGGATCTCAGCCTCTCTCTTCTGAGACACAGCAAGGGCGTTTCCAGTTTAATGGTCCATCTCATCTCTGGATCTACTGCCTCTCCATAGCAGCACCTCCCACCCCCCACCCCCCTCCTCCCCTGCCTGGTAAGGTTCCTAAATCACAGTAATGTTCAGAGAGACAGAACTGCCAAGGGGGTGGCAGAAAGATGCTTGAGCGCCCGTCTATAGTGCCTCTAACAGAAGAGCTTGAGGAAGCAGTTCTGGCAGTAGGGCTTGTCGTTCTGCTCCTTGAAGGTTCCTTTGTTGAGCTGCTTGAGGCAGAAGGCACAGACAAAGTGTTCTGGGTGGAATTTCTTGCCCATAGCAGTGATGCAGCGTCCTGTGATGGGCTTCTGGCAGCCGGAGCAGAGCGAGCCGCGGCGCTCGTGGTAATGCACCTCGCAGTAGGGCTGCCCGTCGTGCTCGAAGAAGCTGCCGTTGACAAACGGGGTGAAACACTCCTGCAGCAGGACAAAGCAAAGGGACAGCTTGTGTGAGAAGCTGGGCTGGTGGGGAGGGGCAGCTCTGCAAGCACCCTCTGCTCTATGGCACAGCCCAGCTGTGCTGTGGGCAGGTGAACTGCTGCCTTTCAGCACTGCCCAGGTATCCAGAGCCTAACTCTGCCCATCAGGAAGAGCTTCCAAAAAAAGACTACGAAATGGACAGATACAGAAAGAAGCAAAGAAATTAATCAGCTCATTCTCCCAGCTGGCTTCACTTCTACAAATAAAATACTATGGATGAGTTACTGTAAGTATCCAGCCAGGAAAAAAACCATTCATGCCCTGAGATGGGAAACACTGCAGCACCTTTCTTTTCCCTGGCTTTTTTTCCCCTCACTTCAGCTTCCCCACAAGGGCAAGCAGAAGAAAGGACCAAGAGACTTTCATGCAGCAGAATCCTGATGAGCATGGGACTGGCTCCAGCTGAGAAAATCAGGCACAATTCATCTTTATGAGTGACCTCTCCAGAATGGCTGGCATTAGGCAGGTACACTCTGCAAAAGATTGTCCAGCCTGAAATATTTCCAGTCACACATGGGTCACTGCTGGGAGAAACTGTTTGTTCTATAGTGCTAAGGATGTTGAATAGATATGGGGAAGAGGACACATCAGCTGTGTGCTAATAAATGTCCAGAGCTGCTCCCACGCCTCAGCATCTGAGGACACTTCACTGCAGAACCTGCAACAGAAGCACCCACTATCCCCACCAGACTGGGGAGACTCCTCTCCTTGTAAAAGTGGGAAACTGAGGCAGCAGAGTAAGGGAGGGATTTACCAAATATCTCAGCAGCAAGACCCAGAGGAGGCAGTTTCCTGAAGCCTGGTTTTGCTGTGCTGTTCCCCAGGGAGGACACTGAGTATCACACACAGCTGGCTCGCAGCGTGTGGACAGGAGTCCAGCAAACAGCACGCAGAGCCAGGGGCAGCTGAACGCTTGCAGTACCAGGAGAATGCAGCTTGCCTGCAGCAAGTCCAAGACTTTACCAATGCTGACAGTTATTTCAGTCAGCAGAGCAGCTGAAAAGTTTGCTCTGCTTTTGCAGAAACAGTAAGAGAATCACATCTTGTGGCCTGGAAGAAATCTGTTCTGGCCTCATTAATTCAGGGCACAGCAGGGGGAAAGGAAAGCTGAACTGCTTGATAAAGGCTCAGTGCAGGCATGAGAAGGCTTCCCCCCCCCAGCCCCAGTCAGGCACAGCTTCTGCCTCACTCTGCACAACACTGCAGGAGCCACAGACAGTCCCAACAGGGTGGTGACTGTCTGCTCTGAGCATCACAACAGGAATCAGCAGCTTGTGGTTCTGGCTGCTTGATCTGGTTTCTGCCTTCTCTCCCATTCTAGGAAACTGTGGCTGATTTGGCTCATCTCTTGGGGATGGTAAGAGTTAATATTTGCAATGCTCTCTGAAAGAGTGCCAAGCATTTAATCTGCAGTATTCCTGTTTATTATGCCTGCTGTATGGAGCCTGCCACTATTTCATTGACTTGCATGTTTGTCTGAACAAGGTCACTTTCATTAGTTTACATTTTCAGACGGAGCATGGGAGGAATATCCTCAAAATCTGATTGCTGAGGCAAGTGCTCAGAGAGAAGCTTAGCTTATAATTATTCAAAGGTCACAGAAATATCTCTATCTGTGAGCTGCTGCAGAAGCCCATGGTTAAAGCTGGGAACAGAAAGAGCAAAGCAACTCCAAAATTTAATAGAAACAGAGAACAAGAAGATGTTTGGTTGCTGGCATGTTTTTATGTTGTGGGGCTGGCTGCCCTTCACTACCCCACAGACACCTTACCCTGATATGGGGCCAGATGCCTCAGGGTGGAAACAAGAGGGGTCATAGAGCAGCAGGAAAGGACCTTGGGTTCCTTACCCGACAGACAAAGCACTCGGGGTGCCACAGGGTGTTCAAGGCAGAGATGTAATTCTCCAGGATAGCCCGGGCACAGCCTCCACACTTGGGAGCAAACATATCAAAGTAGTCCTTGCGGCAATAGGCTTTGCCATCCTTCTCGTGAAACCCTGCCAGAAGAGAGGAGAGGCAAAGGGATCAGCTCCTCATCTTCACCTGTGGCCACACAACCTGTGCAGGGTAACCCATGGGTAGGATCATCCTTCCTGCTGCTAACACACAGAGCAGCCAGAGCTGTTTCTTGTTCTGTTCCCTTCCCATCCCAGCAGAGGCCTGTTCTTCCTCCCCAGGGAGAAGCCATTATTACTGGCACCATCCCTCCCCCACAAACAGCTCCCTTGGAACTCCAGTAGTTCCCCTGTGATGCCTCAGGCTGTACCCTGGAAGCAGCTCTGCCTCACTCCCTCCTCTGATTCAGAGGAGTTCAGAGGGGAGACTGAGATTGCTTTTCGCTTGCATAAACCAGCAATACCTTCAGGTCCAAAGAAAGCTCCACACTGGGCACAGAAAAAGTGTTCAGGGTGCCATGTCCTGTCCAAAGCAGTCACCACTTTCTGTTGAGAAGAAAACACAAAGTGCAGGTCATGTAAATGAATTGGAGGTGAGTAAGGGGGGCTGGAGAGAGGACACATGAATGTTGGTGCTGACAAGAGTAAGCATTAAAATAGACTGTCCTTTAGAGAGCAGAGTCAATTTGCCCCTGCCTCTGGCTCGTTCAGGCTTTCCCACTGCACACTTTTTTTTACCGTAAAAGGATCTTAGGCACTGCTTCCTCCCTCACACAGGGCCCCACCCAGTCTTAAGGACCAGCAGTGGTGCCTGTTACCACAGGCTACCAACAACAAAAGCTGAGAAATCATTGCCAGAATGATGGAGCATTGTGGGGTTCTGAAGGAACTCCAGCAAAGGTAAGAGGGACAAACTCCACTCACTGGTGTAAGAATTTGACTGTGCCAAGTTGTTTCCCTTTCAAAGGAAGGCCAGAACAACTGCAGAAATCCCTGAATAAAACCTTCCACCCAGGACACAGGGTGAAGTGGAATTTTAACACCCAGGCCTGCAGCAGCTCGCCAGCACGGTGGCTCCCCCAAGGAACTCACATCGAGGATGGGCCCGTTGCAGTAGTAGCAGCGAGGAGAGAAGAGGTTGTGATAATCCTTCTCGCAGTAGGGCTGCCCATCCCGCTCAAAGAAGTTCCGGGAGCCGATCTCCTCCTGGCAGTGGGTGCAGACGAAGTGCTCAGGGTGCCAGGTTTTCCCCATGGCTGTAACTACCTGTGGGGAAAGCAGATTTTGGAGAACAATTCTATCTCTCCCTCCCCTAGACCACATGACAAGATACCAGCTGGAGGTCAGCAAGAATGACAAGTTCTACTACTCAAGTGAGCCCTGGACTGGGGTAGCATGAAAACTGAATTACCTATCATCTCAGGAGAGGGCAGTCCCTCAGGGGCAGGGTAGAGGTCACTGGAGGAGCTTACAGCGTACCTAGCCAGTGGATAAATAGAGTACTTCAGTTTCTCCAGCATCTCCAGTCTCTCCAGCCTCACGAAACAGCCCTCCCCGTTACTCCCAGCTGCAGCCCAAGGTCCAGCAATGAGGCAGCACCTTCAACTCACCTGCCCAGCAATAGGCTTCTTGCAGGCTCCACAGACACCTTTGGCAACTGTAGCTACACCCAGTTTGTTCAGGTCAGACTGAAGGCTTCCCAGCATGGTATCCAGCTGACTGCCAGGCTTGGAGGCTGTGGATGGAGGGGAGCTGCTCCCAGCTTTTCCCTGTGCCATGAACTGCAGGTGAGACAAAACAAATGCTGTAAGGTGAATGCTGCTATGCTGATCAGATAAACGCCTGCTGTTGCTGCCAGTGACTCCCCTGCAGAGACAGACAGGAGTCAGCTAAGCTCCCTGAAGCAGCTGTGAGAGCCAGGATCACGTACACACATGTATTCTGCCCATGCAGAGACAAGCAGAGAACTGATATGTAACAGCAGAGTTGTGAACTGAGAATTTGATTTTCTTTCACTGCACATACAGCAACAGTCACCAGCACATCCCAGGCACTCAGTACAGTGCTCTCTAAGCCTCTGCCAAAAATTTCCCTTTAGCTCATCAGTTCCTGGCCAGCTGACAAAGCAGACGCCATCCAGAGGGCCCCTTCTCCTTGACCTCTCTCCATTCCTATGCTCTTGCTCTCAGTTGTCTCTCCTCTCTGACAGAGATGCTCTTCTCTCCCTCATCTCACCTCCCTTTCAGCCAGAACATTTTCTCCCTTTGCACCACCATCGGCACATCTGTCTGCCAAGTTTCTCTCTCACTCTCAGGTGGTTCTCACTCCATGCCTGAGCTAAGCAAGTGGAAGCAGAAGGAAGGAACTCTCTCTCAGCTGGCTGCTGTTTGCCTACAGAGAGGGCAGTGCAGACAGGGCTGCCAGGGGTACTGTAGTTGGGAATGCACCACTGGGGGGAAGGGGATTTGGATGCTTGTCTCAGAGGCTGTTTCTGAAACTCACACCACCACAGCACACACGGCCTGGAAAGGCTTCCAGAGGAGGGGAGAAATGTTTTACTGAGGTTCATAACTTATAAACAAAGCTTTATGTTCTCCTTGGCCACCACACGCCCCTTTACAGACAAACCCCAACAAGGATATAGAGATTATTTTAGCTGACTTGGCACTGCCATAGCTACTGTCAGGTTTAGGGACACACAAAGTTGGGTTTAGAGCACGTTTTCTTTTACTAAGAGAGTAAATTAAAACAGACAAAATCTACGCCTATGAACAACCCACCAGCCTGCTGCCGGCATAGCCAAAGGAGCAGGGACATGCTGAAGTGTTCCAAGCCTTGGCAGACCTTGCCCTTCCAGCCACAGGAGAAGCTCTATTCCCTGTGCTGCAGCTGCTTGTCCTTGCAGTTGACCAGTTTATTCAGTGATAAATCCTGGTTTCTGCTCATTTGTATAAACATTCATGACATACATGAATTTAGCTGCTCTTACACACACATCCACACACTCCCCAGCCTTGCCTCACAGGCAGTGACTCCCAGTGGATCCTAACACACAGCTTTTCCCTCCCCTCTCAACTGACCTCTCCTAGTGCAGCAGCACAGAGCAGCCCCATCACATCCCAGCATCCTCAGCCTAAAACAAACCCTTCACCACACAACACAACCACATTTGCTACCAAAAACTGTTACAGTGACTGCCTGCAAAGCACACACACACCTGCAAGGACACTCTCACAGTGTTTGGAGACAAAGCCTGTCCAGAGCCCCAGGATAAAGGCCAGGCTCCCTGCATGGTGCAGCAGGAAGACAAGGGCTGCACTGTGTGGAAGGAATCACAGCTTCTCTTGCTCCAGCCAGGGGTTATTGCCACGCAGGGCAGGCACAGATGCCACACACAAGTGATAAATACCATCCAGGGAGAAAGGAGATGAGATTAATTTAACACATAGCAACAGAGCACTTCACCCTTGTAGTGACCTGGAGGGAGCACACAGTCCTGCCAGTCACAGCTGACCCCAGAGCAGGCACAAATACCTGTGCACACCTCCATTCTAGCTGGCCTGGCCATCCAGCCCTCTTGACAGCTCACAAATGAGCCCCCACCTGGAAGAGGTTTGTTTCCACCTCCTGTACATAATCCATGCTGTTTGTAGGGGACACTCAGCACATCATCCTCATGCAAACTGATCATGCAAAGGCCCTTCAAACTCCCACCCTTATGAGATCTGCCATCAGTCAAGTTCAGAAAGGAGCTCTATGAGTAGCAAACCATGCAATACAGGATATTATCCACATTAACAGTGCTGGGAGCCCCAGGAGCAGATCCCAGCACACTCATCAATCAGAAGAGCACACACCATGCTGAGGAAACAGAAAGGGGATCCTGCCTTGTCAGGGGCTGTGGGGCCCCAGGGTGCAGGAGCAGCCAACAGACTGGCACTGCGGACTAGGGGAGGAGCACAGGTCACCTGCAAAGTACAACAGGTCAAGATGCAGAGATGTTTCTTGCTCACTGCTTTAGAGCTGCCTGTACACTAACACTGCACTGCACAAATGTGTTGAAGACTCCCCACCACCCTGGAGCTACAGCCCTTCCCTGGCAGGAGATGCAGAACCCAGGTCTGGACCATGCCATCTCCTCCCAAATCCACTCATACAGTGGACACCTGCATAAAAGGGCAAACACAGGAAGGATTGCTGAGTTGCTCCTTCCAGTATGCATGTTCTGCCATCTTTTACTCCCCCCACTTTAGAAAGACTGTGGCAGGGAGAGCTCCAGGCTGTGTTTCAGAGTTACCTTCTTAATCTCAGAGGGAAATGAGAATCCCTGCTGCATGAAGTGACTGTCAGGACACACAGGACCCACATATCCCAGCAAGTTATTGCATAGACATGTACTGTGCAGTACTACAGCTGGGATTAGATGTTGTCCATGAGTCCTCCCTCCCATCCAGCAGTTTATACCAGCCTTTACCTGAACACTGTATCTACTGAGCTGTCAAATTACAAGCAGTAGTTGGATTGGAAAATACTGCTAAAAACACAAATCAGAATAGAGAAGCCTGCCTGCATTTCTGGGAAGAAAGCTTCATCTTCAGTCTGACAGCCAACAGAGACAACTGCCTTGGTGCGAGGAGTCCAGGTCTGGGGAGAACAGGAATGTTTGGGATCTTCATTAGGAGGGGTGCCCACAACAGAAACCTCATGATAATCATTATCAGAAGCTTCCCACTGGAAGAGAGGCTGGGGAGCCAAGCTGAAGGAAGAGGAAGAGACTGGACTAGGAGCTGGGGTAGATGACACAGAGGAAGGCTGAGGTGGGAGTGAGAGAAGAGGTGCAGGGCCAGAGGCAGGAGAAGGAGCAGCATTAGCAGGGACTATCTTTGCAGATTCTTTGGAAGGCTGGAGATGGGAAGAGACAGGAACAGAGATTGTCCTCCTGGAGAGGAGCGGGGATTCTGGAGGAAAAACCACCTAGAAAGACAGGGAGGAAGAAGAAAGGAGAATAAATCCAAAGAGGAACCAACAAGCACTTCCTTTAACAGGAAGGCTGGCTGCTACCAGTATGTTTATCTAAGGGGGAAAAGCAGCAAGAGCTACAAAAGGTGCTGCTCTGTGTAGCTTAAGGAAGAGCACCATTTTACTCATCCCCAGAAAACCCTGCCACAGGTACTGCACTGGACAAAACAAAGCACGCCTGTGTATCAGGCTTCCCAGTGGGGTTTTAAAAATAATCCTCAGATGGACATTTGAGATGTGATAGCAGCAGACTGCATCAACAGATACCATAAGCAGCTCCCTCAGATCCCACTCCAGTTCTTAAACATCCAGAACTAGAACCCTGTGCTGCTTTCCCTCTCAGGCCAGACAAGGCTGAATAGTTACTTCTTCATTTTGTGTTGTTTAGGATGCTCAGAAACTCAATCTGCACCTCCACACAATGGGATCTGGACAGAGGGACATGCTGGAGTTTCCCAGCGTGTGTGACCCTGCTTTCTACCTTCTCTACTTGCTGTTCACCACTCTGCTCTTCCCCCCGGGGCCTGGCAGTGACAATGACCCCCTCTGTCAGCCAGGCATCCTGGCTTGGCCATTCTTCCTGCTCCTGGTTATCGATGCCCAGCCTGTCCTGAAGCTCCTCAATCAAGCGATCCTGGGACTCAGTCTTGTGGAATATGGCAGGACCTAGTTTGCGCCTTGGAGAGAGGTCCCGAGACATTGGATGCACATTCGCAGTCTCTTTTGTCCTCTTGATTAAAGATTTTATCTAAATGACAAAGGCAATAGTATCAGCAGAGAAGAGCAAAGTCAGAGCAAGCCCCAAGATGCAATAGCACAAACTCAAAGACATTAGTGACAATTGTGAGCAGGAAGAGTGATGGCATTTATTCCACAATGCCAAAATTCCTCTTGGCACAGCCCAGAACAGTGACTCAGTGCAAGGAAAAACCCTGTAAGGGCAATCACAGCAGCCAAAAATAACTGTCTAGAAAAGGAAGGGAAAGATTAACCAGTGGGAAGCCAAGATAGGAGGTGCAGCATGAGCACTCCACTGAGCATTACAGAAACCTCAGCATCACAAGGGCACAGAGCTGTGCCTCTGTGTCTGCCCTTGACAGGCACAAGGCTCTTGGTCAGAGATGTCTGGTGCACAAAGTGTACTTCCAGAATGGAAAGGAACACTGTCAGCTTCAGTAATGAGACCTAAAACAGTAAACAGAGCAGAGGAGCTGCCATCCCAATCAGTAGCATGAAACAGCCCTTTCAGCTTTTTGGAGGTCTCTGTGGACTGAGCCTTACCCCAGTTAGGGAATGAAAGTCCACTTCACAAGGAAGTCCCTACAAACCGCCATGTTCTGTGCTGCTGAATCACATGCAGGAGAGACCACAAGATAAAGCTGGGGGTTGTGAAGCCCTGTGAGATGCAGCTGTCAGTGACACCACTCAGAGCTCGTGCTGTTAGTGGGGTGAGCTGGGGCACACTCACTGCATGCACACACTGTGAGTGTGCTGGCTCAACAGTCCTGGCTAGGAGTTGCCCTACTCCTACATTCACTCAGTGCCTGCCTGGCCTGATGCAGAAATCCTCTCAATGGGTGGTTTGGAGACACATGGCAGATCCCATGCAGCCTTCCCAAAGGTTTCAGGAGATTCTGGAGTGACTGCAGAGCTTCTGAATTGCTCCTTTTCCTGGTCTCCTCTGGCCTTGTTCGTGTTAGCAGTACCTGCCTTCCTAGGAGTTCTGTCTCTGCCCTGCCTCTTCTTGCCCACATCAGGACTGTGGTATACCTTGGTGTCATGTGGCACTTCAGCTTTTAGCTCCTGTCCTTGCTTCGCTACAAAGCCCAACTGGTTTTTAGTGTCTGGGAAGACATCCCACCGATCCAGGGCAACAACAGAAGGTTCATTAACAGAATCCAAAACACTGTCATTCTTTGCATGCACCTCTGGCACATGTGCAGGCAGCTCCAGGGGCCACAGCTCATCTAAAGCTGTTTCCACACTTCTGCCCTGGGACGAAAGAGCTGAGTTGTCCCTGAGTGCTGCTCCCTGCTGATGCAGCTCCTTGGCTATCTTCCCCTTCTTTGAAATGGGTACACTTGAGATTTTGGGGTCAGTTCTCTGCTCCTTCTTCTCAGTCTCTTTTGCCGCATCATAACCTAAGCCCTGTGCCTCCACAGTAGCAGACCTACAGAGAAGCTCCACGCTGGAAGCTGGCACAGCCTGGGAAGTATTTCTGGAAGAGTCAGGCTTTCTGTTCAGCTGAACTAAGCTGGCAGAGGCCACTTGCTCCCCACGAGAACCAGAGGAGCTCCGTGGTGGGGGCACAGGGACAGCTTGGGCTAAATGGGGCACAGGTGGAGGGGCAGCAGGGTGCCCTGACAAAGGCAGAACTGCAGTGTCACTGCCTTCCTCAATGCAGGTGTCTGCTGGGGGGACAGATGTTGGCACTGTTGAGTCCCCACTGTGACTTGCAGAAGGGTGTTTGGAATGGGACAGCACTGCTAAACTGTGAGGAGTGTTGCTGGAGTCTGCATTTGCTGAACTGGGAACCGGTTCTAGGGAAGATTCAGAAATCAGAGACACAGTGGAACTAGTCTGCAAAAGAAGAGATAGAAGGAATAAGGAGAGAAAAAGATAATAACAGAGATAAGGAGAAGGAAAAAAGGCACAGAATTAAGCATTATAAGAATCATGACTCACAAACCAAAAACCCATGTTGACCCAAATCCTTACTTCCAAGATTAAGGAAGAAGAATGAAACACCCAAGAGCAGAACCAGTATGACATTGTACTGATCTTCACGAGTTCTACAGCCACTGGGGTCCTTTTCCTGGGCCCTCCTCCTCAGTGACAGCTCAGAGTTCACCTGCAGCTGTGACGGGGACGTGGCGTGGCCACTGCCACTGCTGGGAAGTGCAGCTCCAAACCCAGGAGTGTCTCGACTGTGAATAAAGGTCACGTAAACTAGCTCACAGTCAGACATGTAAATTTTGTATTCCAAAGCTGCAAAAAATTCAATCAATGAATAGAACAAAGCATGACATTTTCTTCTTGATACACTTAATAAAATGCTCCAGTTGGCTGAGTACATGGCAATGAAAACAAAGCTTCAGGGCATCCACAGCAAAGAGCAGATGACATGGGCTTTGTTCTATTCACATCACTAATCTCACCTTGGAAGCGACACACACTGAATCTATACGAGCCTGTCAGTCATTCCATGCCCTTGTGAGCATTGCTTAGGTGGCAGATTAGCCTCTTCCCCCTAGGCCAAAGACTCCACATTGACATTGTAATAAAATCAGTATTAAATTTTGATCCAAAAAACATTCTAAGAAGAACAATTAATACAGAGGTTTTGGTTTTCCTTGATTTACAGGATCTTATGAAAACAAAAGACCATGGGTCCTTCTTTCCCCACTTCCAGTGGTTCCTGACTAAACTCTAGGAGACAAAGTAACAGTACTCCTTTTCCTTAGAAAGGGACACTCAGAACAGCAACTTGGACAACCTGAGACCAAGACTGTGCCTTCTCAGTTTTAAAAATGTACCCACAAAGGATTTCCAAATCCAAGAGTTATCAAGACCTGCTCTAACTCTTCATCATATTTTCCAGAGAAGCCTAAAGGAGTCAGATGCTTGTGCTCTGAGGTGGAAGGGCACATAACTTCCTAAGCCCCAGGTATGCTACCTCAGTCTCCACTTACCTTTCTGAAATACTTATAACGAAAAAAACTATACAATTAATCAGAACATGCACAAAACCTGTCAGTAAATGGAAGAATAATAACTTTCAGCTGATCTGAGCTCCTGCCATGCTGAGGGGCCAGGAGCTGGCACACACGCACGCTTGCAAAGTCACACCAGCAGTGCTGCAAGGAGACTGTTCTCAGAAAGGAAAGAGCAATAAGAGACCAAATTTCATTACAGATTCTCTTCCCCTCGAGTAGCACAGCCAGGCTACTGTGACCACAGTCACAGCTGAGAGGAAAATGACAAGCCAGTATACTAAAATGAGGGAATATCCCAATATGCCCTCTCCCTGAATTCTGCCTAAGCTGGGTGCACCTGTAAAAGTAACCTGGTTTGATGCTGTACTTCACATTTGCCTTCCAGACTTCCTAAAATGAAGTCAGTCACTTTCAAGGCATTGTGCTCAAACAGTATTTTCAACATACTGAAACCATACTAATTCCAAAGTAAGAGCCATGGGTGAGCACTCCACAGTAACAGAACAGTTAACTGCAAGTATCCAGCCATGCAGTGAGCAGGCATCACATTACACAGAAATGGCAGAGGGTAAAAAAACAAGTGCATTAAGTAATCTCAGTGCCTGATGACCGATTAACCAGATAACCAAAATCAAATGGATTCTGTAAGCAAAAAGAGGGGCAACAAATCAGGGTGAGCAAAATATAATAAGAGGGTAATGAATCATCACCTTTTACTCAGGGGTACAAGGTAAATCAAGCACCAGTGCCCTCCATTCCTCTCATCCTCATCTATTGCAACTTCTATCAATTCCAGCTAATTACATATCATATTTGGGGTTTTTATCCTATATCCTGCAGTCACATACAGTCTGATGCTCCAACAGCAGCCTTTCATATTCCACCTCCACAAGGGCTCCCCTTGTCTCTCTTACATTCTGACACTGGTACAGACTAGAATACATTTTTACAGCCAAGTTAACATCCCCAGCTGGCACAAACAGAAGAGGTATAACCAAACAAAAAGGACTGAAGGGAAAATGAAGCAACCTGGATAACAGGAGAAAAGGAAAGTAACTTAAAAACAGTCAGTGACATCATCAGCAAAAGGGAAATGATCACAGAAGCCATGTAGAAATATGTGCTCCAGGAAGAATGTTTAGGCACAGATGAGCTCAATGCTTCACAAAAATATCAATGCTGTGCTTAATAAAATCTTAACATCTTGCTGCATTTCAATTTGGTCTCTGAGGTCAACTGAAAACTAAGCCAGGAAGGCAGGTGGTGGTAGCCACAGCAGCTCATTTCTGTCACACAGGTTTTAGTGGAGATTTTAAAGCTTCTCAAGAGTGCAAAGCACTGAACACCCACACTTTAAAATGTCCACTCCCTGTTCTCACCAATGAAACCTGCGCTGGGCAAGGTCATTCTGAGCTGCCAAGAGCTCAGCTGGGAGCAAAGGCTGGGCCACCACACCCTGAGCTGGTTTCTGATAAAAGCAGCAGGGGCACGAGGCCACAGGGCTCAGCTCCCACAGCACACGGAAGGAGCAGGGCACGGAATGCCAGAAGCACCAGTGGGAACTCTCCAGCACTGCAGTGCTTCAACCAGGCTGAGCAGAGCTTGTGGCTACCCTGCACTACACCCTAGGACATCAGGAGGAGTAAAAAGGCAACACTAAGGTGCCCAAATTTGCAAGTGACTAAACACAACTACAGTGAGTCTAGAGAAAACACTGAGGAACTCACAGGTTCTCACTGATTTAGGTGCATGTGCCAGGAATGGTAGACTGAATCCTATTCCAGCAAGGACAAGGCAAGTGAAGCTTCTCAGAACACGTGTGCTCAGTGCAAGGTTCTGAGCTCACACACCTGTCACAGCTCTGGGTGTTGTATTGATCTCCATGGGACTCACCAAGCACAGAAAGAACAGCAAACAGAAAAAGCTGTCACTACATGTTCTACACCTCTCCCCACAAAACACTGCTCAGCTCTGGCTGCCCCACCTAATGTCATCTAGGAGGGGATGGAGTTCAGCACACACAAGAAATTTCAAGCATCCAGCAAAATCTTCCATACAGGAATAAAGAGTTAGGAACTGATTTAGGATTAGAAAGCAGATAGGTATGTAAAAAAGGCAAACCTAACAAAGAAATATTTGCTTTCTCCATCTCTCTCAGAAGAAATCCAAGTCAACAGTTCAGTAAAACTATAAGCAAAGCAGCTGAAAGTAGAAAGTGAGAAAGTATTTTTCATTTTGCCATGAGTATGGGTAAATGAAATCTCCTGAGAACAACCTCCATAGTTCATCACCTAGCGCAGGAGTGGTAACACACCCACATGAAAAAAGAAAAAGTTATTCAAGCACATATGCTGACACTGAATAGTACTTGCTGTCCTTTGCCCCCACAAGAAACTGAAACTTTAATCCCATGTTGAGGTGAATAAGAGATTTTGGGTTAAGATAAAACCTTTGAAATCTCCTTCTGTCTGAGGTAAACGCTTCAGTGCTCATACCAAATGCCTGGAATATCCATTTTCCTCAGGGAAAGCACATCAGGGTAAAAACACACTCCAGAGAGGAGTCATCCCACAGAACAGAAGGGCCTGGTCTCTGTCAGAAAGCAGAGTGGTGTCCCATGCCTCTCTCCTTCTCATTAAGTTGTAGCACAGCAAAATAATTCACTCTACTGAGCAGTAACAAAGCTCATTATCTCTGGCAAACAGACAAACTGCAGAACTGAAGGAAAAACAGATCCCAGAACTGCCTTCCCCTGCCAGTGATGACAATTTATAGCAGTCAAGGACACCTAGAGCCCCACTCAGAAAGCACAAATACA